TCCCCAATGGCTCAATTTTCGAAAACGACGTCGTTTTAATTTTTTTTTTCCCCTCATCTTTCTTTCCCTTTCACTTTCCGTTTCTCTCTCAAAGGTTGAGAACCAAACCCAAAGAAACAGTTGAAAGAGAGAAATAGAGGAGGAACAGAGGAAGACCCAAAGTCCTTGAAATCGATCTCCTCTAGTAGTTTCCTCTCCGACGCAGCCCACAAACTGGTAGTTTCCTCTTTGACGCCAAAGCCGCCGGAGCCCTCATCTCTTCCGTCTTTGTTGGGTTCTTTTATGGCAGCGACAGATGGAGTAGTGTGAGAATGTAGTGGTTGTTGGAATTACTGGGTTTGGTGAAGATTTGCAAATACGTTTGGATTTGTATAATACTTTTCCTCTGCAAATTTTCCTCATCTCTCTCTCTCTCTCTCTCTCTCTCTCTCTACTATATATATATATAGCTATTTATGAATGATGAGTACAAGAGAGGAGAAGAAGACAAAGGGGGTTTTGGGTTTGGATTTGAATTCGAAGGACAAATGAATGTGATTTTCTTTTTTTTTTAGATTCATAGCACAAAGAACAAAGCTTAATGCATATACAAATATATGTGAAGAGAGAGATTTGTGATTTTTTTTTTTTTTTTTCAAATTCATAGCACAAAGAACAAAGCTTAATGCATATACAAATATATGTGAAGAGAGAGATTTGTGATTTTTTTTTTTTTTTTTCAAATTCATAGCACAAAGAACAAAGCTTAATGCATATACAAATATATGTGAAGAGAGAGATTTGTGATTTTTTTTTTTTTTTTTCAAATTCATAGCACAAAGAACAAAGCTTAATGTGCTTTTAAAAAATATTTTAAAGTTTTTTTTTTTTTGATCTATCACATTTTTTAAGTTAAAATCATGGTTTGAAAACATAGAGCTTGTTTGGCATGACCTAAAATATCACACTTTTTTGGGGCTTTTCCCTAAATAAGCTAAAATACCAAGTTATTTCCCAAATTAGACTTAGTTTGGACGGATTTTCCAAAATAAGTTTAAACGTGGTTAGAAACCACGCTTACACCGTTTTTGCAGCCCAACCGCGAAAAACTTGAAAAATCGTAAAAGCGTGGTTACAAAACACGCTTTTAATTAAGAAAGCGTGGTTACAAACCACGCTTTTAAAGAAATTTGTTTTATACAGAAAGCGTAGTTAAGAATCACACTTTTAAATTTTTTTTTTCTTCATAAAACGTAGTTCATAATCACGCTTTTACTGTTCACCAAAATAAGCGTGGTTAGCATCCACGCTTTTGTATTCCCGTTGCCGCTGCTAGACATAATTTGTATGAGGTAGCCACTCACTCTCTCTTATTTTGGGAAACTAATTTTTTTTATTTTAAATGTATAATTTTTTTATTTTAAATATTTTATTTTATTTTGTAAATATTTTAATTTTTTTAATTTTAATATTTTAAACTCAAAACACATTTCCACACTTATATCATAACCAAACGCATAACTCAAAACTCAATTAAAAAATTATTTTCAAACCTCATAACACTACAAGAAAAAGCACCTTTGGCGACTAAATTTTTAGTTACCAAAAGTCCGTTTTTAGTTGCCAAAAGTTGACTTTTTACTTTCTCCGACTAATTTTTTTAGTCACTGGTTTTGTCGCGTATAGATGGTCGGCAGAGGTATTGGCGACTAAATTAGTCGCCAAAAAGCAGCTCTTTCGCGACCAACATTTTAGTCGCCAATAGTGATTTACACTTTTCAAAATCATACATTTAGCGACTAATCCTTTAGTCGCCAATTGTCCTACTTTCAACGACGAAATTTACATTTTTGGTCGCCAAAATTGCTTTTTGTTGTAGTGTAACCAAACATATAACTCGAAATTCCACATTACTTTCAAAACTCTACACTCAAATCATAACCAAATACATAACAAAAAAATTAAAATATTTAAAAATATATTTATAAAATAAAATAAAATATTTATAATAAAAATTATATATTTAAAATAAAAAAAATAAATTTTTTTAATATTTAAAATATTATACAGAATGCAAATTTATAAAATATAGCGCACATTAAAATAAATAAATAAATATTTAAAATATAAAATATTTATCTTGAAAAAATAAAATTAAGAAAAATTTTAAATATTTAAAAAAAATTCTTAAAAATTCAAAAAAAAAGCTCAAAACTCATAACTAAACAAATTCTCTTTTTAAAACTCATAACTCAAAACATGACTCTATACTCAAATCATGATTCTAAAAATAATTTTAAAAAACAAAATAAAAAAATATTTCTTGATTTTTTTTTTAAATAGAGTAATGAAAGGAGTTTTTTTATTTTAAATATATAATTTTTATTATAAATATTTTATTTTATTTTATAAATATATTTTTAAATATTTTAATTTTTTTGTTATGTATTTGGTTACGATTTGAGTGTAGAGTTTTGAAAGTAGTGTAGAATTTTGAGTTATTTGTTTTGGTTATGAGGTTTGAAAATAATTTTTTCATTGAGTTTTGAGTTATGTGTTTGGTTATGATATGTGTGTGGAAATGTGTTTTGAGTTTAAAATATTAAAATTAAAAATATTTACAAAATAAAATAAAATATTTAAAATAAAAAAATTATATATTTAAAATAAAAAAAATTAGTTTCCCAAAATAAGAGAGGGTGAGTGGGTACCTCATACAAATTATGTTAGGAATACAAAAGCGTGGATGCTATCCACGCTTATCTTGGTGAACAGTAAAAGTGTGGTTATGAACCATGTTTTATGGAAAAAAAAAAAAATTATTTAAAAGATTGATTCCTATTACTCTTTCTGTATAAAATAAATTTCCTTAAAAGCGTGGTTTGTAACTACGCTTTCTTAATTAAAAGCGTGTTTTGTAACCACGATTTTACGATTTTACAAATTTTCCGCAGTTGGGCTACAAAAACAGTGAAAGCGTGGTTTCTAACCACGTTTTAGCTTATTTTGGGAAATCCGTCCAAACTAGGCATAGTTTGGGAAATAGCTTGATATTTTAGCTTATTTAGGGAAAAGCCCCCACTTTTTTACTTTTTTATCATTTTTAGATCATATTATATTTCTACTTTTCTGCACATTTTTCGTAAAAAATCAAAAAATACACTTATTTTAGATCGTTCTAAACAATCCCATAGTCTCAAAAACAACTTGGGTTTGAGAATTTTTTGTATGTAAACAACATGAGTTTGGTATATTTTAAGTTAAAATCATGATTTGAAAACATAGTCTCAAAAAACAACTTGGGTTTGAGAATTTTTTTTGGTTTGTATACATGAGTTTGGTATATTAAAAAAAAAAAAAAATACTCATCGAATAAATTTACAAACACAAAATTCAGCCACAAAACAAGACACAATGTATATGGATGTATAAAAATTTTCAAAAAGTGGACACTACTAACAATTTTTGTAAATTTTTATTCATGTATGTATATTTTATATTCGGTTTTGTAATTAATTTCTACAATTTTACCAACTATCTAGTTTTTGTATCTCTTAGACAGATCTTTCATTTAAAATAAATAAAAGAAGAAGAAGAAAGAAATAAAGAAAGATTAATTTAAGACAAAATCCACTTTGCTGTATTGTGATTTTGCCTCAGACCATTTTATCACAGTAAAACAAAATTGATTGCATATTTGTTTTTGTAACTCTAAAACAATGAAATTTCTCTTTTTTTGTCTAAATTTTTGATGAAGTTTTCATGATTCAATTGAAATTGTACTTAATTTGAAAATTTGTAGCCCTTAACTTGAAATTTGGGTAATGAAATTTTAAACTATCCCTCAATTTAAAGATATTTATGTTTTATCCTTCTGTTGGAAGATCACATGGATTGACAACACAATAATGTTTAAAATTTTGCAAGGTTTCCGCACGTCGTAAGTCATCTTAAAACTATATTTAAAATTTCAATTTATGACAGAAAAAGAAAAATGAGACAAGCTTTTTTTTGGGTTTGTATCTTAATATTTTCTATTATATTAGGAGTCCTTCGCACTTCTGGATATAAATTAAGATTGTGTAAAATACTACCAAATTCGTACCAATTTATCTGTTAATTGTGAGTTGGTTTGACCCACAATTTTCAATTTACAATCCATTTTCGAAACCATATCAAAGTAAAAATTAATGTAAGAGAGACTTAAGATACAAAATTTATTACAAATTAGTGTAATATATATGAAAACATTATGTAAAATAATTATTGTTATATATATATATATATATATAATGAAAGCCGCTATTTCTACTCCACTTTGCTCCAAATATGTTCCATTCCATGTATAATAAAGATAAAGAGTATATTTAAAACAAAGTGGAGTGAGCGTAGCGGCTCAAATTTTTTTTTTATGCAAATTAGTATTATATATTATATAATTGCTTGATAGTTGTTTCAGATTAATTTTCAATCAACTAATAAGTTGAAATTGCCTAAACCACCCAAACTGTTAGCAAATTTATCAATATGCCATCTAGTATTTTGATTATAATTTTATCCTTAAACCGCACCGCACACACCTCTTATATAAATATAGGAAAAATAATATAAGAACCAATTTCCTAAACTGATTTTTAAGATCCCAATGATGTGTAAAAAATACAATTGATAAATTATTAAAAGACACAAGAGAATTGCTTTAGCTATTCAAAAAGACTGCCATATCAATAAATTTGAAAAATAAATTTAACTATTGGGCTAGAATAGCACTATTGTTTCAGATTAATTTTCAATCAACTAATAAGTTGAAATTGCCTAAACCACCCAAACTGTTAGCAAATTTATCAACATGTCATCTAGGATTTGATTATAATTTTATCCTTAAACTGCACCGCACACACCTCTTATATAAATATAGGAAAAATAATATAAGAACCAATTTCCTAAACTGATTTTTAAGATCCCAATGATGTGTAAAAAATACAATTGATAAATTATTAAAAAAGACACAAGAGAATTGCTTTAGCTATTCAAAAAGACTGCCATATCAATAAATTTGAAAAATAAATTTAACTATTGGGCTAGAATAGCACTACTCTTGCGACTAAAGTAAGCAAGTTCCCAAACTTAATAATTTCACAAAACCAAGTATAACAAAGTTGATATTAGGTAGTGAGAATTGCAGGTAATTGAAAGTAATCGGAATGGTTGCCAAGGACACGAGCTTTGGTGTCTGGGAAGAACTCAAACCCTTTCAATACAGTTATGTTTCCCTTGTCCGTGATGGCAACAGGGTACCTGAGGAGGTGACCGGGAAGGTCATGGACATCATTGCTGGAGTAGAAATCCCAATTTTGATCAGCCCACATATTTACAAGCCTGACACATTCCAGATTTTCAGGGTGAAGAAAAGCGTCGTCTACAATTCCAAGGTGTTCATACCACAATGCCATTCGAAAACCATATATTTGTCCCCTGGCTGGCTGGTTTGTTGATAAATGATGTGGTTGATAGCCTCCCATTGCAATCTCAGTGTCCCTTGCACCATCCATTGATCTCTGGTTGATATTTGCAGATCCAATAATTATATATTCATCATCAACTGCAAGAAAATTGTAGGATTTCATGTCAATATCTTCCTCTCAATTTGCTAGTAAAACAAATTGGTTTCAATTTCATAAAACATATTGCTAATAATATCATTCCATGAATATTAAAATTCAAGACTTGATTTTGTTCAATAAAACACGACTGAAAACTAGAAATAGTAATTTGGTACAACGACTGTTATATATATTTCACCCTTCAATTTATTGCAGGATCCACCATATCTCAACAATAATAAGTGAGTGCTATATGTACACGACTTTTGTTATGTGAATCCATGCAGAATGTGAAAAAAAAAAGTGACATCCTTCTGGTGACAAATATCATTTTCCTTCTAGGCTAAGTTCGTTTGAATGTAGATTTTTTTTCAACAAAAGTACAAGGATTATCTGAAGTCAATTTACGGTTGATTCTCTCACTCTAAACAAGACCTGTGTATGCTCTAGCCTATGTAAGAAAATTTTCTATAGGTCCAAGCTAACTTGTCGAGCTTGCATTGAAGGACCAATTCACCTCCATTTGGTCAAGGCCCTGCAATAATTAATTTTTTTGTTTTCGGCTGGAAATTTTTTTTGGTTTGTTGTCAAACGTCAGAAGATATGATCAATGAAATTATTTTACAAGTAAAAAGTTGTCATGAAAAATATTTTACATTGAAACAAACGGAGCTCTAGTATATTTCAAGAAAGGAAACAGAAATGAATCCAAGGGGGGTGAGGAACTATGCAAGAAGAAGAAATAAGCATAATTAGCATAGTGGAAGTATTGATTGAAATTCAAGATATATTCATGGTATTTGGGATATGCTTGAGCAACTTCAAGCTATGTATATTTAGACCTCGTTTGGGAACGGGCTATTTTAGTAATTTTTTTAACTTCTTATGAAAAGACGTGTGATAACTTATAGTGACTTTTTAACATTTTGGCTAAAATGTTTAGTCCTCAAATGAGGCCTTAGTAGAAAATATGTTTTATGCATAATCAGTCAAGAAAGAAGAATTGCGTAATCCTAAAAATCAAAGGATTTCATGTAAATATTTTTCGAGCAGCTTAGATGCATACAGAAAAGAACCACAAAATAGTCATACAAGAGACACAAACTAGCATTCTCTTTTTGGAGTGCATGAATGAGGATTGAGTTTTGGATACGGTATAGAATTTGATGTTTCAATTACAAGTAAAAATGTGTGTAAATGAAAAGCCAATATTGCTTACCAATCATCATTTTCGCATGGACATAGATCATGAAGCGCCGAGCGAGCTGAGCTCTACAATAATCAGTGTCAGGTTTTGGCTTCTTTCTAGGCACATATTCGCCAATCTTCTGAGCCTCCCGATTGCCAAGGCAGAAAATTGTCAAATACTCTCTAAGGTTTTCATTCAGCCCCTTAGCTCGAAGGGCATCATAAATGTCAGTATACATCATCTCCATTGTCCTCCTTTGCCAATCTAATATTGCTTGAACAGAAGCACTCTCAGGTATGCCTTCTGGCCACATTGGAATTACCACATATACAGTAAACCTCTCTCCTGCTTCAATCTTGCTAACAATCTTGAGTGAGAGCTCCTTTGGTATAAGATGCAACGCACCAATGTCTGCATCCTTGATGTCCTTGGAATTCCAGCCATATGAGCTTCCTATGAAATACTGATTTTCAATGTAAATAAAATTCTTTGCTCGTCGAATGGCATTGATATAGGCATGTTGAATGCTTCTGTCAATGGTGATACCCTTTTCAGTAACCAGGCCTATTTCACCTGCTTCCTTGGGTATTTTAAATGCTTCCTCTGGATTGTCGGCTGCTTTGTTGAAGTTTTCACGAGGAAAGCCCTCAACAGAAGCACTGTCAATTGATCTGAATATTTGAACATTCCATGTTTCAGGGTCTTGTGATGATGTAACTGGCATTGGTGGTCGAGTAATGATTCTATCAAGCTCAGTGAGTGTGAGGAGGGAATTATTTCTAACTTGCTTGTTCCATCTCTGCTCAAAATTGTACAAGACATCCAAAGCAACAGGCCCTTCAAGTTTGCAATGAATGTCGTGCCAGGGCTCCCTTGGACCGCCTTTTGCAATTGATGAGCCTCCAAAGTTGGGCTGATGGAAATCATCATTATGAATATTGTTCAGAGTCATAAACAAGAAATGATCTGGAGTATCGTACCGCCCATCACAAAGATCAATGCCACCAACAAAACTGACAATCGTCCTCTTTTGTGACCTGTCCCCAGGCATTTCGCTGTCCACCACTACTGTCTTCTGATGGTGAGTAAACATGCCTTCAATCTGAATTCCCTGAACAATACTTCTTGCAACATCAGAATTACGTGGGCATAAAATACACTCTACTTTTGAGTTTTGAAATTCATATGCAGTATCTTGATCGTGGGTTGCCATCAAACCTTCCGCCTTCAATTCCTTAACAGAAGTTCTGTCGTCCCAGACAAGCATAAGAACTCTTACACCATTATCTGCCTTTATCTTAAGCAGATCACCCAGAGTAATGTCTCCCAGTGGTCTTCGTCTCCTTGGGTCTCTTATCAAAGTGATCTTAGTATATACAGACCAACCTGTAATGTAAATCAGGTGTCTTGCATTAGTGATTGCGTCAAAGATATCCTCCCAGCATCTGTGAGGCTCATAAACTTTACCTTCGGAAAGATTGAATTTGGGGATAATCGAATCTGGGACATGGGCATCTTGATATAGTGTAACTTTGCAGCCCTCTCTCTGCATGAAGAATGTATAAGGGACTCCTTCAAATGAAGCAGTTTTGATTCCCTGAGACCAATTACTGTCTTTAGTGACATCCAAAAATTTCAGTTTGACACGGATTTTAGGACTTCCATATATTGGGAGATTTTCTTCATCCACTATGTCAAGAAGTCTATCCACCTCAAGCCCAGATATAATGTCCTTGACAGGCAAACGAGCTCTTCCAATTAATGTTGCCCCAATTGGATTACCATCTTTGACTGTAAATACAACATTAGAAATCTTATGAGCACAGTAGATGTGAAAGGACTCATTCCAACGAGGATGGAAGGGTTCATTTGTAATCATTCTGGTCCTTGCAACCCTAGCCTTGTCTAAATCAACAGTTGCATAGAGATTGGTGCCAACAATCTGTTTGAAATGTTTGATATTCATCAGAAGGATATTATTTCCCAAATCAAAATTTAATATTGAATTTAACACAAGGCATACCTCAGGCCGGCAAAGCACCAATCTCTTGACTTGGGATAAAAATTTCTTCGCTTTCTTTTGTGGAGGAATAGTCTCCAGATTTCCAGAGAGTGATCGGAAAGAAAAATAAAAAAATTCAGAATCAAAAAGCAAGAACAATTAAAAGACTAATGCATGAACATGTTAATTAGCATGCGTCACGGCAAGTATATAGAACAGTAAGTATTTTAGAGCTGATAAGAGTAACAGCAATAGAAAACGAGAACTGACAAAAATGCTAACTAGTATGACTTCTTGTCCAGATAATATGTATTGTCTGTTATTAACAGCCTAAAGAAGTCACAGAGAATTGATAAGAGAGTCAGAGCATTTTCTTTCATAGACAGAGTGGAAAGGGCAGTGCATTATGCAGTAAGTGAAGATTAGTACGAGACCATTGTCCTAGATAAAATAACAAAACATGCTAACAATATTAGTCTTTTCAACATTTCAGCGCTCAACAGAAATGCCTATTTTGTGGAGAAATACGCTAATAACGCAAACCGCCATATATGCATGTTAGACACATTGCAATTAATTGATAACAGATGATGAGAATTTTTTATTATTTATTATTATTTTTATTTTTATTTTTTTTTGGGATAAAGGAAGAGTAGAAACTACACAAATATTCTAGGGTTCACATGGTCAATGCATGGAGCATTGATATGAAAAATGCCTAAGAGAGGGGCCTTTAGAAAAAGCATTTAGCAATTCAATATGAAGAGTGCCAGACCTAAAATTTTGAGTAACAGCTAAAGATATTAACTAGTTAGTCTTGCAATTCAAAAGAATCATAGAAAATATATATATATTCATGTTGATGAATTATATTTAGAACTGGAATTCACATGAGTGATTAACAAACAATTGCAGGTATTATAAATCCATTCTTGAACTTATTTTATTTTATTTTGTTTGATAAATTCTTGAACTTATCTTTATACACCATTAGTCATCACAATTGAACATTTTAAAACACAAAAACAAATATATGATAATACTGAAGTCATACAAAATGCACATTAATATTCAAATTGATGATGTGAACTTGTTCGTAGCTTTGCAATACTCTCAGGCCATGTTTGTTTGGGCGGACTGGATTACCATTCCCATGACTAATAGTCCTAGAATTATGAATTCGTTGGATTATGTATCCTATCTTAACTAATAGTTAAGTTTAAAATAATTAGTCCGTACTTCAATTGTTTAACCAAACATCGGATTAATAATTTTATTGGACTATTAGTCCAATTCCAAGCTCATGTCAACCCAAACAAACATGGCCTCAACATTAGCAACTCCATTAAAAGATTGTGGACAGTATGTAAATTTGAAAGCAAAAGAGGAGAGAAGTGGATGGTCAACAACATGGATGTTTGTTTGCTTGTGTTGGAATTTTGGAAGTAAATGTAAAACCAACTAGTAATAGGTGGAGAGGCATTTAGAATACATGAACCAAACTTGAGTGGCTTAGAGAAGCAACGCAGAATAAATCTCTAACATTGTGTTTTGTGCATCTGTTTTAAGTTTGTAAGTAGTACCTCTTACAATCTAGATATTCCTAAAACCTTTTGAACTTCATGTAAACACTATTTTATATTATTTTTATAATCAATGGAATTCAAATCCTAACGTCTGCTCCACAACAGCTCCCACATTACCACTGGGCCAATGCACTTACATTACGGTTCATTTGGCAAAATAGGAGGGAAAATAAAAGAATGGATTAGACAGGAGAGGAAAAAAAAGGAATCATAGTGGTATCTTTCCTTCATGTTTCGATAATGGATTTTGTTAACATGCACATATTAAGAAGTTTGAAAGGGTAATAATACATTCTACATGATAATGTGTACAATAAAGAATGTATAATCTTTTTAAACCCTAAGATGTAGAGGATCATAACATGAGCGATTCGGCAAATTTGGATTCCAATATATCCCCTTATATGGTACTTCATTATGCACTATCTATATACACACATATATAATCCATATGTATAGATAAGATATCATCTACATCCAAAACGCTGTATGCTTTGAAAGAAGCTTGTACAATTTGGGAAGGGGTTTTGATTGATCAAATAGAAGAGTCTACTTCAACCGATATGACACATTTTAACAAGAACCTTGGATAATTTAGGCAAGCAAAGAAATGACAATAGCAGGTTTCCTCCTCTCTTATTTGAGAAAGATAAACAAGAGAAAAGAAAAAGAAAATAATTTTTTATTATGTGGATAACACGGGCAAAAACAAAACCGCTTTTATTGGTACTTACACTAATTTCTTCTCCAAATCTCACCACTTTTTGAGAGATTAAAAAAATTGATATTTAAGTGATAATGATTTCTTTCCATTTCTCTCCTCTTAACTTATCCAAACAAGTGAGGAGTAGCAGAGAATTGCTTATCTGTTCTTTTCTCTCAAAATCACCTAATTCAAACAGACTGTTAATTGTAAACACTATCATTTTCCCCTTGTAAGTTATGCCCTATTTGGTAACGTTTACATTTTCAGTTTATATTTACAAAAATTTTAAAAACTGTCATAAAAACTTGTTTGATAATTTTTTTGGTTTATAAATGGTTGTCTCAATTTACAAATTTGAGGAAAAAACGTAAACTCAAAAAATGAGTTTACGTTAGTTTTTAAACAGAAATTTAAAAATATGACTAACAAATTTTTTTATTCAATTAATTTTTTTTAAATAACTTTTTTTTTCAATTATCTTTTTTTCAAATAATTTTTTTTTCAATTATTTTTTTCCAATTAATTTTTTTAATTAATTTTTTTCAATTATAATGTGCATGATCCCATTGTCATAAATAATAAAAAATAAATATAAATATTTTAGGCTTTAACAAACATATTTTTTAGTTTATATTTTTAAAAATTTCAAACATTTTGTTCAAACCAAACGTATTTGTAGTTTATGTTTTTTCTAAAAATAAACAAAAATCAATTTATAAAATTTTTGTAAACATAAATAAAAAACGTAAATGTTACCAAACGCTACCTAAACATTCATAGCTAGGACCAGCTTCACATATAAAACAAAGGACAAATTTCACTTTATACCTAATGGTACAAGCCATATACACACAGCTCCTTATCATTTCAAACTAATTCCTTAAGCCCTTGAGGTTTTATTGGACTAAAACACATCGCTTGCTTCCGTTAATTACGCTTGTAAATTGACCTAAATACCCTTATAATCTATATCTCTTCTCAACTAAACCACAAATATATTATACACTAGTGTGTGTGTGTGCCCACCTGATGGATGTGCTATTAAATCTATAAAATATAATATTTGATTTTGATTTAAAAGTATATATGTTGTGTGTTACTGAAGTAGTAAAGATGTTTCCCAGACCCAAGGTCTTAGGTTCAAGCCCCATTCACATCGCTATATAATTTTGTATTTTAAATGACTATTATAGGGGTATTTTAGGAAAATCTAAATATGAGACATATTTGTGTCAACACCCTAAAAAGCCTTCACTTATAATAGTACTAGCAGTCCGCATATGCAATGCGTGTGCAACTTGAAAAAAAGTAATAGTATAATAATAATGACAAAAAGAATGCACATATAGTATGTGTTACTCAATTGGTAAGTACCTTTTTTATCAAACTCATGATCTCAATTTCAAGTTCCCACCTGCTCTTAATATAAATTTTACATAAACACCAACTATATGGGTATTTTATAAAAACTCAAAATATGAGACGTCAACACCATCGGGAGCATTCACGTATATAATAGTATAGATAGAAGATATTAATGAGGAAAATGAGAAATGCTTCATATACATATACTCATATATAACCATTTGTACTGCTTGACTCTATTGTCAAACATGAGTTCCAACAAAACCAAGACCACATCTATCCAAATTTTTTCTTTTTTTTTTGGTCCACTTGAGTAGCAAACAACAATAAAACCATAATCATTCATTTGGTTCACTAAAGTGGAATAGAATGATCAATTCTCACATTCAATTCACTAAAAAATAATAATAATTTATTGCAAATAGAATCACTATTCACCATTATAAGGGAATTATCATTAAAAACAAAACTAAAGAATCACCATTTCATTTCATTCCACATTATGAATCAAACACTGCCTAAGAAGTTGATTGTTGCAAAAGGAATAAATTTGCATAGTTAGCAACTATGAAGCACCGACACTTCAAAACAAGTGTCGTAGGGGTGTTGGACATGGGGACATGGTGAGGACATGTATGAGACACGTTATGTCGCATGTCCCTTTATTTAATTAATTTTTTTCAGGAGACATGACGGGGACACACCAATGACATTTCAGGGACACGCTAACCCCCTTTTGTAGTGCTTTTGATGGATGTTGGATGTTTATTACTTTTTGCTTAGATTCAAATATTTAATAGATCATCCATAAAAAATATATAAACGATAAGTATTAATTTAAAAGTGAAGTTTTTTTTTAAATATTGAATTAGTGTTAGTTTTCGTTAATTTTGATTGTTTGGCAATGTAATATTAATCTACATCGTAAATAAAAACATAAGAAAAAAATATTTTATTGTCGTATTCCTACTGTGTTCATGCCTACATTTTTTTAAAATCACTGTGTCTTGTGCCTGGTGTCCCGTGTTAGCATCCATGTCCATGCTTCTTAGGTTAGAAAACAAGGTGAGACCATTGTTACTTGCTAAAGAGGTTGCATACTCAAGTAAAGTAGTAGAGGCCACAAAACGAAACTGATCAATAGGACAATTTGCTGCACTTGGCTTTCATGATTGATTTATCCATGTGGTTGTTTTGGGTTTTCTAATCAATAAAATCCCAATTCCCAAATTTGAAGAAATTGGAGAATAAGCTCATGTTGGGCAAAAGGGATTAAAGCGAGCTTTGTTTATGTGCAATAATGGTGCAGGGCAAGGCCTAAAAGGCCATAACTAGTCCAGTCAAATCTAGGGATGTTGGAGAGGTGGAGTGAAGAGAGAGAATGGAAAGAGAGGAAGAAGATGAAAATGTCAAACTTTTGCAAAATTTGAAAATTTTATGGCGGCATTTTTGTCTTAAGAAAATAATTTACTATCAACCATGCACGCGTAATATATATATATATATATTTTTGTCATGCTTTGTTTGTTATATTTTCCATATTTTTTGGCGTTTGGTACAACGAAAAACAAAGTCAACAGAAAACAAGTCTATTTGGGCAAAATTGTTTTTCACTTTTAAAAGGCAGAAAACATTTTCTAGACTAAAGTGGTACCAATATCACCACACTACCACCTCCACCATACCTTCACCATAACAAGAAATTTTTTGTTGATATGTTATGTCCTCTCTAATTTCGGTTTTAGCATCCTCTCTAATTATGTCGTTAGCGAGTTGAAGTACCTGTACTATTGCACACGTCATTTCAAATTGATCTTACTAATTGTGTACACCATACATAAACACAAATAGTAAATACATACATGTATTATTTGTGGACCATATACTACGAGATGTACCTTGTCACATAAATTAAACCCGCATCCAGATTCAATATGCAGTTCATTAATCTCAAAGATGGTAACATGAAGCGTCCCATGGAGCAAAATCGGATCCGGAACCATGGATTACCAAAACAACTAGCAAAATGGTTGAAACAAAAACAATAATATTTGGAAAGCATCAAGACTCAAATAAATAAATAAATAACTTAAAAAGAGTTTAGCATGATTTAAAGAAGTATGCACATATATTAATTACATCTAAATATGTAAATACATGCATCGTCAGAGCATGAATGGAAACACAAACCAACCTGAAATATGCAGTGTCCTTGAGATGACTTGCAATATGTAGAGAAAGAGGTGTGAATTTGCAAAGGTAACTGTGCTTTGTTTTGTAGGAAATGGTCATCCATGATACTTCCCTTGTATTCATATAAAGTGGAAAGAGAGAATCTAAAGTACATATCTTTACTTTCAAGAAACAAATATCTCTTGTTTGGGGAATCATTTTCATGAGATAATTTATACCAATTTATATGTATATTCACCTATATGTATAATATGAATATACAAGATCCATTAAAAGAAGGCAAGTGTAAACAAGTGGCGGAACTAGTATTCCGATTTGAGGAGGTCATATTAAAAGAAAAAGATTTTACCAACTAATAAAACTCTTTATTTCTAACAAAATATGAACATATTTTATAAGTTTAATCAAGAAAAATATATTAAGATGGTAATGGTATACAAATAAAACTTGAGATATCATGTGTAAGTCGCATGTTAATTTTCTATCTATTTATGTAACGAATCACTAATGGAAGGTCACATTGATACCAATTGATAGTTCAAGGCGACAAAGTGTAAGATTCTTTAGTTGAAAGGTATAAAGCGATAGTTCAAAAGGTAAAGTGTAATTTTCCCTATAGCCTAAAAGGGTATTTTCATAATAAAGGTTCAAATTGAAAAATATATATATAATAGACGATAAGGGTTAAGTGCTGCAATTTTTAGTTCAAGAAAATGAATTGACATGGGGCAATAGTTGTGGAAGTTAAGTGTAAATTGCCTCCCAAAAAATAATAAATGAAGCCCTCTTTAAGGGTAATTCTATTCGCACACCACAAAAAAATTTAGTACACACGATTTGTGTCATTCGAATATAAACTTTCGAACAAAAGTCAAATGTTCAGATATATATTTTTGAACAAAAATGAATTGTTTACATATAAATTTCATTCAGTAGTTCATATTCGAACAACTATTTTTGTTCGAATGTTTATAACCGAACATTTTACTTTGGTTTGGAAGTTTATATCTAAATGACATAAATAGTATAAATTGAGATTTTGTGTGGCGTGCAAATAGAATTTTCCCTTCTTTAAAGTGTTTTCTTTTTCTTTTTTTGGAATGACAAAGACTTATTCTGAGTTTAAATAAACAAAAGTTTCTTCGGGAATAATTCTTTAAGCTACCTTCCAAAGCATCCAACTTCTAAGGTAGTATAGAATACATATAATTTATATGTAGAGAGAGGGGGGGGGGGGGTCTCTAGAGACAGTCTCTTCCTGCCTTTTGCTAGGGAAATTTGCAAGAAACTTGAAATGAATGAGAGTCAAAGAGAGGGATGTTCATGTTCCATTGGATGGGTTATGTGCTTGCCATCTTTTCCAAGGCATATATTAACTAAAAAGAATAATAAAATAGCAAGTATAGTAATATAGAAATTAAACATTCAGAAAATACAATAATAGATCAGATTTAAAAATAAATAAAAAAATTAATAGATCAATGTAATTTTTTGTGTTCAATTCTGTGTGATTTTTTTTGTAACCTTAGCTATATTGCAATAAAAATAAATTATTGTTTTGATGATTAGGTTCACAATGCAAGACTTTATTATTATTGTTTTTTTTTTTCTTTGTTTATGCACTCAGTAGAATGTTTAGTGAATTAATCAACTAGGTTAGCACAGCCTGGAGTTTAACATTTCTCTATACGTTCATAACCCAAATGTCCCTCTAAAACTTATGTACAACAACTTAACAAAAAATGAACGAATCAAACCCAAAGGCTATCTCAAGTTGAGATGATAAATGCCAAACCCAGAGAAAAATATGATAAACCAACTGTTTCAGGAAATATAAAAAGGTAGAGAGAACTGTTGGCTACATATTTTGTAAAAGTCAGTTACAGTTCGACACGTGGCATAGTAAGGGTAATAAAGGAAGGTTATTCAAGCCTTTAATCCTGATCGTACACGTGGCAATAAATATTGGTCCTCACATGATCTGAGTAACACTAGATCAAATAACGGGATGCAAGATGACGTGTCTTCAACGGTTACTCATATTCAAATCCAAGTACAAGAGGGAAGCTCAACTGCCAGTAATGGCGTAATGGAGCTACTTGTAAGGAAGCATGATCAGCGATCATGGAGAAGCAGTTCGACGGTTCGAAGTGCAGTTCGAAGGTCATCACTGACGAGTATAAATAGTCAGGGCAGCCCCCGAAAGACGGATGGACTCAGATCATACAAATCAGTCATTTACTTCTATATTTTCTTTTTCAGTCTTTACATTTCAGTCTTAAATCCTGTTCTTTAAATACCTGCACTTTAAATACCCGCACTGCACTTCGATTCATAGGAGTAGCTTTCAAGTAGATTCAAGTAGAATTGCTGTTGTAAACCTCTCCGAGGCTGAGTTCGGACCATTGTAAGTGTTCATTTTTATATGAAATACTCAAATATGTTCTTCATATTACTTTTCTCTCTTAATTTCTCCTAAGTCAAGCCACCAGTAAAAGTCCTCTTCATTGAGGCTGAAAAAAACTAGAAAACCAATGTCTGATAATTGGTTGGCAATCACAATTTCTGTAAGGATGATTGATCTTGCTAGCACGCTCACATCACAAAAAACACCATTCGAAAAGCCAAAAAGCCAACATATATTTTTGGCACACCCCAGTGGGACTTAATTAAAAATGGCTTAAGAAGAAGACGACAAGGAAGAAAATGGAATCGCTTCGAAAGAAGCGGGAAGGAGAGTAGAAATACCAAATCCAGAGGATTAATGTCGCCGCTACCAACTCCTGTGGAAACTCCATATTGTCAGAACCTATGGTCGAACAGAACCAAGTACTTCTGCAAGAACCATACGTTCATAATTATTGGACAAAACCAAGGAATTGGACCATTCCACTGTGCCATTATTCAACCAACAAATCCATGGGATGGTTTAGTAATGCATGACAACAATTAATCTGACACAATGGAAAGGGTGAGCACATCCTTTTTTGGAATCGTGCTAAACACACAAGCACACGGCAGGGGTGTAAATGTCCCTCAACAAGATTGGCTTAGAGAAAACCAGCTATGGTTAAATGGCAGTATAATGGTCACTAGTAATTCAGACCATGAAGACCCTACCTCAGTTTGGTATGTAACCTTTAAGGCCTATAGCAGGTCAAAATGCCTTCAGTAACTTAATAATCGAAGCACATCCACTAGTTGGTGGATTCTGCCAAATCAAGAACTGGCATAAGACTTGGTTACAATATCATGTTCGACGAGCCATACCTGGCACAAGGGGGTACATACTAATCCCTTATTCGAATTTACACCCTTCCGGGGGGTTGGAGGTTTTCCTACGAATGGCAGCAGACACAACACCGTGTTCAACACCTTTTGCAGGTCCTTTTCGGAGGTCATGCTCATAGGGGGTTACGCCATACCTCTCAACAGCACCTGCACCGCAAGGACA